AATTTGGTAAATTTAGATTTGATTTATGGGTCTATATTTTCATAATGTACCTTTAAATTAATAGGCTTGCAAAACATACATATGATGGACAAAATACACTATAAATGTCAGTGTATAACAATGATGTGTGTAAACTGGTTTTATCAGAAATAACATAAATCTCAAAAAAATGTAATTGGATCCTAAATTGTTTCTTTAATATGCAGATTGCCCGCCTGACTGCTATCAACCGCCGTCTCACACGCACTGTAAGCATGCAGAGACTGGATGTTGTAAGCGGTCCTGAGTCAGATGCTGAAGACACAGAAGATCTGAGATTAAACTTGGATGAGGTAGATTCATTGCCAAAGAAAGTAGACTCGGTTACAAGGGAAGAAAATGGACACATTGATTACCTAAGCGAAGAAGGCAGAGTGAGAATACCTTCTGTAACAAGTGACAGATCGACTCCCTCTCCAACTAGGGAGACTGTGGGCAGAAAAAAGTCCCAGACGCTTGCTGATGCTTTTCTTGAGCAGTTGCCAGAAGTGAGAAACTGTGATGATGCATATCAGAATGGTTCTGCGACTCACGAGGAGAGAGAAGCATGCTAGTGATTACTCTGACTTCTTTGTTGGGATCAGGATTAGATAAAAGCCTGATTGCTAGTGATATGCTACTGATGGAGTGGACAGCTTTAAACCATAACTTAGATATAAGAAACCCACTTTTTATTAATGTACATAAAGTTAGGGAAGGAGAGTCATATAATGAAACCAGTAGTCATTGAATTGTATTTTAAATCATTTTAATTTAAGACATCACAACCAGTCCTGGCTATAGGACACTAAATAACTACAGTTGCCATGTATTCTGTAGGATATTTGGCGACCTTAAAGACTAGTTCATCCATATAATCCCGTGGACCATGTCAATTAAGTGTGCATTTATGGATGTCTTTATACTTTCATATTTATGAGGTAATTCTGTGAATTAAGTATGATAATATGGGACATTATCATTTCTATCTTTTGGTAGGAAGTGTTTAGTAATCAAGTATATATTAGCCACTTTCCCCCATACACGTTGGGTATTTTTGACAAGTGGATTTAAAATCAAATTATCTAAGAAGGTTATCCAAGAATGCCAATGTATGAATTAAAGCCTTGGACTCAATCCCTACCAATGAGTCAGTGGTAATGTTTCCCAGATAGGTCCCCTTCCAGCAGGCCAGCAGGTCTTGGCTAGTCACAGGACTCAGGATGGCTTGGGCCAAGACATTAGTGGAAAATGGTGCAACTTAATTACATCCAACAGTGTGAACGTTCATTTCTTATTGTAATATAAATATTAGATGCAAGTCAGGAACGTTGACACAATTCTTGGGGATTCATATTAATGCCATCGAATTGTAGAAATAGTGGTTGGTTTGAACCTGGACTCTTTCTCTAAATTTGCATATTAATGTGACAAAGACCAAACTGTAGCAATAGGACATGCTTCACAAGTATTTATAGGCACAATCAGTGTAAATCTGTGATGTTTTCCTTCAACCTTCAACCTCACATGAGACTGATGGTTAATGAAACCAAAACAAATATATTTATTTACTTAGTTTTCACTTTTTTATGTACTTACATTTTGTATATATATATACCAGATAACAGTTCATTTTATTAATTATTTTAAAAAATTATTATACTAGTAGTCCATTATCCTTTCTCCTAAATACTGTGTGTGAGTGCATGTGTGTGTGTGCCAGCATGCATGTGTGTGTGCGCGTGTGTGCATGCGTGTGTGTGTATTGTGTACGGATGTGTGCGGATGTGTGCGTGCATGCATGAGTGTGTGCTGTGTGTACAGATGCATATTTACACACTCACATATGCATACACAAACAGATACACATGCATATATTTATATGCATAAGCATAAAGATGCATGCATACATACATATATGCACACATACTTAAACTGTATATAAAACCTCTTCATTCATTCTTTTTCTCACTTGTCTTCCTTAAACCATAGATGGGAGTGACAATCACAAGGTGCAATCCATTGGATTATGTTGTATAAGAATTTTCCTTTTGCTACCTGTATCATTTAATTTGCTGGAAATTAGGCTGTATTTTTTATTTATAGAACTAACTTTAAATATTCCAGAGGTGCTACATTCACGGATGTGATTGTGGGTTTGTCTCACTCCAGTACTTGAATGTTTGAAGGTTTACTTTAGGATTTTTTTCTGGTAATTTTCATCATTCAGCAGATGTTTTGCAGACTTGGCTGCAGTATTGTTCATGTGTAAATGCTTGTAAAAGAACAAATATAAGCTTCACACAGATAGCTCCTGTATGTATGTGGCTTTATCGTTTATTATCCAATCACTTTTAAAGCTGTAATTTGCAAGCATTCTAGATCTACAGGCACCCATCACTTAGTATAGAGTTTATTAAATACTCAGTATTTCCATACTTACAATTTACTTGTCATATCTTGGAAAGAAATTTGCTCCTACAATTTGGAATTAAGTGTAGGGCCAAATGTCTTTTTATGGATAAAGAAATTAGGTTCATGGCTAACTTGTTCTCAGTCTGTGCTAGTAAAAGCAATCTGAAAGTACCAATAGAAACTTTGATATTGAGTGTTAATTTATAAGTTTATTGATGAAGGAAGACAATATTTGTGCATATTAGGAAAAAAGAGAAAGGGACAAAGACATTCCAATGCGTTCCACCACTTGTAAAAATTTATGTTGAACAGCAAAGAATGATACTTGAAATAAAACACATTATCATATCTTTGCATTTTAATTCCACACATTATCATATCTTTGCATTTTAATTCCACACCTGCTGTAAGAAGAAAATATGAGATAAATCTTGAAAATATATTACACCATTAAATAAAAATATAGCTGAATTGAGTATTTTTATAGAGCTGTGTTGCAGATAATTATCATAGAAAACCACAAAGCCTAGAAAATTGCCGATTGTAGTTACAATTGGATGACTCCCCAACCACGATTGGGGGCTAAATTCTGAAACTCGTACATTTTAATTTTTTCAGTTGTGTAATAACCAAAATATGGGCATCTGGGTAACTTTATTGGTCTCTCACAGCTATCTTGTAGGTCTAGCCCACACAAACACTTATACACAGCATCAAGACTTCTTGCCTCCTCTTTGCTATGGTATTAGCTCTTATTCTGCATACTCTCTTGTCATTTTTAAAATATTATATTTGCCATTTGTTACGCTATATTAAGATGGTAACTGACTGTTTATGTTAAGCGGATTCCCTATCTCTCCTGCTATTCAACAACTCGATAACAATAATAACAATAATCTTTTTATTATTATTATTATTTATTTACTTATTTTTTTGTAATATTCAATTTTTCACAACATAACCTGCAATGCTGGTCAAGAAAGCTGGGATGAGATTCCTGTGCATGGAAATAGTGTCCTAACTGGAGCTCTTCCAGGCATGGTTCACGGAGGGTACATTCCACTATCATTTACAGTGGAAATAATACAAAGAGCTTCTTCCTAAAAACCCAGTGGCTGATATCCCTCCAAGAGTTTTAAGGACTCAGTAACAACCCCCTTCACCTGGCACTTGGTGACAATATCTCACTACATATTCTCGTCACCCCAGCCCTTAACCAAATTTTTCCATGATGACACATTCCATGTCACCCAGATCCAATGAGTTAATGCTGGATTTTTTTAGACCATTCAAAATAACATGTATATATGTGTGTATATAAAAATCATACTCTAGAACAATGTTTAATGTTTGAAACAAATATGTGCCAGACATCAAAGGTCATAGAGCACTATCGTATAGTATTGTGTCAGAAAGGGCAAAGATTACAATAAAATGTGTTAGATGTCAAAGGTTTGAGAGCATTATAGGATAGTATTAGTGAAAAGGGAAAAAACGGAGCAAATGAACTAGAGCAGAAATTAGCAGAAAGGAGAGAGTTAAGGAGGTAGGGCAACTGAGTGAATTATAGTGTATCAGTCACTGGGGAAGGTATAGAAAAATGTTCAAGGAAAAATAGAGGTGGGTTGTTGGTAAGGTAGGAGAAGAATCTGGGGAGAGGGGAAGGTATGGTAATGGAAAAGGAAAGGAAAGAAGGGAAGTAAATGATTTAGAGCAGAGATTAGTAAAATGGAAAAGGTTAAGGAGGTTTGGGTGGTTTGGATGGTTAAGAGGATGAGGTATATTGGGAAGGGGTAGGGGGGAATATGAGAGGGTAGAGCAACTGAGTGAATTGCAGTGTATCTGTGACTCAGGAAGAAATACAGACATTGTTCAAGGAAAACAGAGGTCATTGTTGGAGAAGTAGGAGGAGAAGAATCCAGGGGATGAGAAAGAGGGATTGGGGAAGGTGGTGAAGTATCAGTAGAGGGGTTTGGAGAAGGACACTGTTGTGATAGAGGGAATTTGTGGGTATTCAAGTGGGAGTGTTAGAAAGGGTGGGGTATGTTGGGAGGGTGTAGGAGGAAGGGAGGTGGAGGAAATTTGAGGATGAAGATGGATATCTGCAAACAGTTCAAATGTAGGAGGAGTAGGAACAAAGGGATTGGGGGGTGGCTGATGGAGCGGAGTGTTCTCTATGGGTCTTCTTTAGGAAGGTTTGGATGTCTTCAAGGGTTTCTGGAGGGGAGTTGGGTGAAGAAGATGGAGAAACAAATGTTCTCTTATGAGAAGGAGAAGAAATAGATATCTGAGGAACAGATGAAGAGGAAGATGTAGGAGAGGGTGGAGTGGAATGTTTAGGTTGCCTGGTACGACAAATAAAGTGAGGAGGAGGGGTAGGTATCAGGGAAGTGGTGGAGATTGGAGTATCTGGATTTGGAATGGAAAATGGATTTGTCTGGGGGATAGGGTGAGTAGACATATACTCTAGAACAAGATAATTCAATTCTTACTATGTATGAGAAAAACAAATGTATAAACATGCACACCATCTATGCATCAGAACTTGACAGGACAGTAAACACAACTGTAACTGGACAGTTTTATTAAGGGATTAAAGTAATTATCATAGGTTCTCTATGTCAACCTTCACATGATTATATCACAAATAATATAATCAATATGTATCATCCACAATTTATTTCACTGATTTCAATTAATGAAAGTTTACATGAACCATATAAAAACTGTCAACAAAAATCTGAGTATCATCACTTCACTATAATCTGACTGCATATTGTAAACAATGACAAAAATTACCAATTTACAGCCTAAAGGGAGAATTAGAAAATTACAATCACAAATTATCATCAAATATTAAGATATTGTTAATTCTTCTAACAACATTCAAAGACGTACTTCATTAAAATGAATGGGGAACATAAAAGCATACAGAACTTGAAATATTCTTGGAAAGATAACTGCAACAGTCCTTTATTATTGGAAATATTTATAACAATATCAATCATCTAAATACTTCATTTAAGGAATATCTATATACATAAAAATGGAAATGACTAGATATGTTTATAACACAATTTGCATCAGTAAACACAATGACCTGTATGGCTTTAAAACTTTTAAATTAGGTCATTAGTTTTTCTATCTTTAGCTCTGAATTCTGCTTAAGAATAGCATGATAAATTGCCATTTGTAAACCATGAAAGGTAATTTCATGTAAGCAATCTCTAATATATATACTATGACAGGCTTCTTGCATATTCTGCAATATCTTTTCTATACATTTGTGCAGCTTTAATGAAAAAACAAATATTGAATAATTTCTGCAATATACTGACAAAGAAAGCAGCACCACCAGGAAAAAAATAATGTTACTTCTCTGTATATAAATTTATACAAAAAAGGATAAAACAATATTGACTTTTGATTAAAATACTGCAGCATTTACAACTCAATAATAATACTGTATACACATAAATGAATGATCCAATTAAATCAACATATATAACCATAACAAAAAATTGTTCAAATGTGTCATCTTTTTTGGTACAATCACAAAAAATAAAAGGTAATTAAACAAGTTTGTCAGAATGTCATACTCTATCTATACTACTTAACAAAAACTAAATCAAAACAAAAGCCGTGACTATTGCTTTCCAGCTATTGTATCTCTGGTAACAAGTCATTGCAACACTTATCTTTGAAGCAAAAAAAAAAAAAAAAAAACAACAACAACAACAAATAAAAAACACTCTAAGATACCTGACAGAAGGTCTGACCCTCTTCAGCATTAGTTTTTATATCTCCTTTCAGCATGAAGTTCACTACAGCACGTGCAAGGTAGCTCTTCATTCCCATTTCAGATACAGTGTAAAGATAAGAAATGTCCTCTGTCACTTCCTTGCCAAGATCCTAGAAAGAAAGGCCTTACATGTAGGGCATTCAAGCTGGAAAACCTGTTGGTTAACATTAATTTTTCATAGTATTACAATTTAACTGAAATATTAAAACCTAAATTATAATTAAAAAACTCCAACCTCTTCCTTTTTTTGTTTTTCTATTTAAGCAAAGGTACTGAAGATGTTAGAGTCCTTAGATTGAATATACTGTATCTGGCAACATACAAAATGCATTTTTCTAAGAAAATGGCAAAAATATATATCACACAGGGACCTAGATGTAAAGGTGGGGCCTCCAGCTGGCTAATGTTATCCCTGATACTAATTTTCCCAAGATGGTTAGTATTACCTAGTCTGACACCATATTGATATAATTTACTTAAATGATGTTATTGTATAATTATCATCATTCCTGGCAGCATTACTCCTGTGAAAAATTGATGTTTTACAAACAGGAGGTGAGGGTAGGTTTGTATGTAGTGAGTGTGTCCAGTATCTGGGAGCATTCAGAATTTCTGGGCAGACAATTAAGATCAGGTGCTAGGTCATATGCTGAGTGCATACCAGAGTATGGACACTATAAACTAAATACTTATTTTTCCTACTGAAATGGATGGTATCTTTATATGCTGCCAAATACAGTACTTCTAAAAATAAAAATAAAAAACATGACACGCAGTTAATCCATTTACGACGGGTGTCCTATATATGAGACACCCGGAAAAATAAATATTGCTGGCCGTCCTGCCAGTGTGATGTTGGATCGGAGCTCACGCTCTGAATATGGCACGCGGGCAGATTCCGGACCAACCCTGCGGGCTGATTTTGTAGCCGCCCAGAAAATATAATTTTTGGCTTCAAAATATACCGGCATTAGTGCGGTTAACAGCCTCATGTGCTTGTGTCCTTGTCACAATTTGCACCATGCATATGGACATGTAAAAACTACTTTTGAAATTTGAGAAAAAAGTAAAAGCATGTCTGATTTATGTAAATTGCAAAATGAGCCTAAAATCTATATAGTATTATTTAACAAAAAGCCAGAGGTTGCATTCCAACCATATCCTAAGTAAATCCATAAGCTCTCAGAGAGTGATCAGTGATAAGTATAAGAATAAAACAATAATTATGATAATAAATAAAAACAAACCATTAAAATCAACAGCAACTATAATATCAACAAAAATTATACACAGACTGATAATCAACAACATCCACTCTTTACTATCTTACCTTCATGTACATCTTGAAAGCATCTCTAACTATCTGGTCCAAATCCACTGCATGTGTGAACTTGAGCTCAGGATTCCTCTCCAGAATTGTGGCAATGACAGAGATAAGCTGAAAATAATAGATTATAAGTACTAACCCAAATCACTTAAAATTTCAAACCCTTTTTTAGCTTTGTGATTAAGTAACTGCTGTTAGTGCAATTTTTATAACATAAAAATATGCTATAGATATTAACCCACTTACAATGGGATCTCATGATGCCATACATACTGCCCAAGGGAAAAATAGAAGCACAGCTCTCAATGCTCTTGGCTGTGGCATTAACCCCAATGATCCAGGTGATGTGACTATCCCATCATGGAAAAGTCTGGGTTGAATGCAGTCATCGACAAAATGGCCGTGGGCTGGGTGACACAAACTTGCTGCCATGAGCAAAGGTCAGGGTGACGGAAGAGACTCTACAAGTGCAGAGACCTCTTGGAGTATGATTTGACTCATTTGGCATTTAGAAAAGGGCTTTTGCATTATTCCCATCAATAAAGGAGTGTGGAATGTATTGTGTGTAAGCCATGACTGGGAGGACGCCATTACCTATGCTGCGCATTGTATTCCTATTATTATTATTTTTTTTTATGGAGTTACTTACTACATAGAAAAAAGGAGTCTGTGCAAGGAAAATTATCTATTACCGTCTGGATAAAGCAAGTCAAAAGACAAACATGGATTTAGAATATGGCAAAACTGCTAAAAAGGTTTATGCAAAATAACTCTGCAAAGGGAAGCACAGTCTAGTCACCGCTCACGAGTGTTTGTGCGCGCCGAGCATACGCACCCAGTACACCCAGGATATTTGCCACTTACATAATCCTTTGCCCGTATTTTTGTCCATGTGATTGCCGTGATGCAACCAGATCCAACGGGTCACTGATTGTTTAAGTCGTTTATTCCCAAAGTGGGTGGTGAGGCAAAAGGAGGCCATAAGGGGCAACAGGTGATAAATCTGAATGACAAAATGTCATAAACATTATGGCACATTATGTTAATGTTTTTATTATTACTTCTTTTTTAATAAGAAGCATTCAAAAAAAGAAAAAGAAGAAAAAAGAAAAAGGAAGTGTTTGCATCCAATAATGATAATAATTTCAGGTTTGGAGTGACAGGTTCTTTTGACTTATCAAATTATGGCTGTCTGTTTATTATGCTCCTAAACCCCCTGTATGCATGGAATGGATAGGGTTACCATCCACAGGCAATGCAGATTTTGAACACCAATCAACAAGAGTGCTAGATGAGAACACTACCGATGCACCACAAGAGGACATAGTGTGTATGAGCGGAAGTGGGGCGTACATACTAGAAATAACCTGAGTCTAGGGGGCACCAACCTGGACAAGTTTGGGAACCAGTGTTTAAGGTAATAAAGCTAATATGAGGCTTTAACCCAAAAACTGTGCCAGACATCTTAAAATGATATATTTTGAACTGCATATAAAATATTCTAAACAAGCCAGGCTAAAATCCCATGACCCTCAAGTGGCAATTTCATTCCTCTCTTGCTGACACCCTTCCAACCATGCTTTCGACTCCCCATGTCACTGGCCTTCTGGTCGTCCCCCTTCCCCCACATGAATATGTGATGCAGTACAAGATCCCCCCCCCCATCAACTGGAGCTCTACATATACCTCCTACATTTTATATCAATAAAAACTGTTTTCTAGAAAGTTGATTTTCTGATATTTATTGTACATCCAGGAGCAGTCCATAGGTTAAGGGAACCACGGGCAGAATTTTGTGAAAAAAGTATTTGTGGATCAATATGCAGGGCTCTCACATAAACAAAGCATTTCTACCTAATATTGATCCATAATTCAATGAACAAATGCTCTAAAATTAAAAATATGGCACCTTTTGGCATCTTACTATGTTGCAACACTCCTTAAACCTATATAAGGGCAAGGATCACACAAACTTTCTTCTTTACAGTTGCACTGAGGCAATCTGCTATTCTTTTATACATTTGTGATTCAAGGATAATTTTGAGATGTTTTTTGGTTTGCATGATATATCATAATACTTATATTTATACTTACCATTCTAATATTCTATTGTTACAATAACTCTACATGATACATCAATGTAGAGTAATTGTATTATCATGTAGAGGAAAGGAAGTGAACACAGATATATCTACGAAAAGTGTAGCTCGGTGAGGCAAACCGAGAAAAAGAACCGCAGTCTCTTTTTGGTAAACTATCTTAAAACAATAGCTTATTGGACATTCTTTGAAATAACTGTTGGCTCTTGAATGATCTTTATGGGGCTTACTTCATTTCAATGAGTAGTAACATTGTGATTTTTTGAACTGTGAAGACTTTGATACTGCTGTTTTTTTTCTGTTAGAAAAATAAACTAGACTGATTGTTTTTTAAGTCAATCTTTCTAAACATTTATTTACCTGGAAAAAATCCTGATTAAACAAGGTTTCTCTGCAAATCTTTTCATGAACCGCAATCTTTGGATTACATCTGTTTTATACTGTATATTTTTGTTTTCAGATTGAGTTGTGAATCTGACAATACAGAGTCTGCTCAACAAAAATTGGCTATCAACTACATCATACTTTGTAAAAAATGACATATAATGTCCTCAGAAAATGTATCTGCATAAAACGGGATAATAGCAATACAAATAGAAGGCAAGGAGTCTTGATATCAAACAGAAATGTGTGAGTTGGCTGGCCTATAAGCCTCACACCTGGGAGTATTGCCACTTAAATAAACTTATTCGCTGGATTTCTATTTAACTATGTGCTCCAAGGAACCCAGATCAAAATAAACAAACAAGTGTTTAGTACACACAATTTAGGGCATTCCCGACTGTGTGTGAGATTGGGACATCATTCTAGTGTAAGAGAGACTAACCATGATGTGATAGGATGTCAACCCTCATGAATGGGTTGACACTAGGATGGAATACGTATATGCCCTGTCCACTAATTATTATAATAATAACAGAGGTAAATTACTAGGCCTTCTGATCCCACCTACTAACCGCATTCCTTCAAACTTCATAAAGAGAAGATTTTATTACTATCAGTACTATTTGTAACATTGTAGTAAAAATGCTGTGAATATAAGTAACAACATTAACAATGACAACAGTAGTATTAGAAAGAAAAAAAAGAAAAAAAAAGAAAGAAGAAAGAAAGAAAGAAGAGAGAGAAAAAAATCTCGCAAACTTAACCCCAATGATCCAGGTAACATAACCATCCCATCATGGAAAAATCTGGTCCCAGGGAATGTGACACGAACTTGTTGTCATGAGTGAATGCCAAGGTGATGGAAAAGACTTGCCACAAATGCACAAACCTCTTGGAGTATGATTAGACTCATTCGGCATTTAGAAGGGATTTTTGCATTATTCCCATTGATAAAAGAGTGTGTAATGTAATGTATGTAAGCCATGACTGGAAGAGATCCAGATCCAGGGAGGATGCCATTTCCATGCTCAGAATGGTATTCCTGGCTGCTGTCACAGGCAGTGCAGGTTGTATTACGGAAATTGAAAATTATGAAAAAATAAGATATATGACACAACAAAATGTATATTTTTTTCTCTCCCAAAGTTATTTACTACATTGAGAGATGATATGGAGTCTGTGCAAGGAAAATAATCTATTACCATCTAGATAAAGCAGATCAGAAGATAAATATGGATATTGGAAAATGGTAAAAAAAGCTTAAAAAGTTTATGGAAAGTAAATTTGCAAAGGGAAGGCACAGAGTCTTGGAACCGCTCAGAGTGTTCGCATGCGCCCGGGCCTATGCACCGCACACCCAGTTTATGCGTTTTAAGACAGCTTATGAAACCCACTGCCCATGTTTTCAGCCATGTGGTTGCAGTGACGCAACCAGATCCAACGGATTAATGAAAGGGATAAACTTATGTAGTCAGGTAGGTATGGCCCAGTAATTGATTCAGCAGTGAGAAACCATCTATGTGTAAATAATACTGACAATATAAAACTCCAGTGGACAGTACATGCATATAGGGCTAATGAGTAAAGAACTAAATGTACAAATTAGTAAATAAGGGTATGCATACCTCCACAACAATCTGTCGGTATTCTGGGTGTTGAATGCGATTCAGAAGAGACTGAACAGCGAGGGCAAAGTTGAGATCACTGTGAGACATCTCTGTGAGCGTGGGCTGCTGAGGCAGTGTGTGATCAGTAAGATGAACACCTCCAGGAGTTTTGACAAGGATGTGCCACACCTAAAGAAAGAAAGAAAAAAGGTAAAAACTTTTAAACACTGCTTCTCATTCTCCATTTAAAATAATCAAAAATGTATTCAATCTCCACTTCAATATCTTAATCATCGAGCACTGCAGAATCCCAAGGAATATCATATATATTAGCTGACCAGAAACTCTGATATCTCAATTTTGTATACTTTTCATAAAATTTCTAGGAGTTCTACCAAGGCATCCATCAATAACCCTGACTTGCTGTGGAGTTAATCTGAAAATACATAAATACAAAACAATCACTACATGAGCCATACTGGACACAAAAGAGCTAAAATATCTATTATAATTACAAATCTTCAGATCTTGAAATTAATTCACAATCTTCACAGAATATATACATGAATTATCTTACAAAAACATTCTGAATCCATTTTAGGAACCATTTTACAATGATTGTAAGAAAGAAAAAAACATACTTTTCTTTAAGTGCCCAGTCATCAAGAAAGGACCTTGACAACAAGGCGTCTAACTTCATTTGGAGCAAGAGCTTCAACAACGTCTTTTGATCCTAGGACTTCATGTAAGTAATACTGGCATTGCCTTGATCACCCATCTGTTCAAAATATAAATATGATTAACTTCACCGAATATTTGATGAAGAAAGGACATACAGACAAACAAAA